CTTAGAGCTGGTTCTGTTTATTTATCCCATGTTCTATATGTGATTCTTATCATTAGAGCTGGTTCTGTTTATTGATACCATGTTCTGTATGCCATTGTTTATGGCAAGGCTAGGAAAATTGAAAACAATAGACATGTAAATTGTGTCAAATTAACCTAATTTTCCTTGGGAAATAAAATTCATATATATATGTGTGTGTGTGTGTACTATATAGTTTGTATATACAAAAAAAACATTCTTTCAGCAGGGATAATTCTAAAAAAAAATGTTTATCTAATCACCATACACCTATTTCACTTTCTGTGCAAAATTTTTAAACAAAAAAACTAAGTTTTCTACAAGTCATAAAGTATCTTTAATTTTTCACTAAACATGAAAACCTTATTAATAATCAAATTTTCTATGCAGTTATACCAAAATATAACAGTTCACCATTAATGTCTGGGTAAATATTAACCTTTCTGTAAGGTATTGCTTATTTTTTTGTTGTGGTTCATAATTATCACAAAACTTTACAATAAAACATAACCAAATGGTAATGATTCAAACACTCCTTTGTGTGATACAAAAACAATGTTCAACATAATTCTGTCACTTGTCAAGTAATTATCTTTATACACTTTTTACATCAAACTCTTGACATTTTATCAAATATGCTACTAATAAAATAATATATGCTTTTAATGCTACTAGAGGTTACTAATAAAATATTTGACAATCTTGTAGTTGTAATAAGCTTTTGGGTATAAACAAGTACAAACTCAGTGCATATAGCAATTAAAACGTGTACATTCTAACAAAATAAGAGTTAAATCATAAATTTTTATTTACCATCCTCTTAATTGCAGTTACACATGTTGCTAACATGTGTGTAGTATATAACTAGAGTTTAGAAAGTAGTGTGGAGTACAAGTTTTGAAACTTATGAAGACTTGTAATTCAAATTTAAAAGAATTTATGTGTATAATATAAATTTACCTGCATTTGAAAATATATTGGTTCAAATACAGATATACTATGGTGTTAGTAATAAATATTGTTTTCTTTTTGGAAAGAGTTCCATATGGCACCCCACCCAAAAATTGTAGAATTGCCTGGATGTTTATCCCCAAGTAGATTGTACATCTAATTAATGAAGTAAGTGGTATAACAGATCATACTATTAATATGATTTATTAATACATAAATATTACTTTGATGAATTTTTTTTTAAGTTGAGTGGGGGTGCCATATGGAACTCTTACTTTTTTTTTAGTTTTGTAAACTGTATTGTATTTACAACATCTAAGTTCCACTCTTTCACAGTTTCGTCTCGCTCTTGTCCTGACTTTGCCCAACAAATGGAGCAAGCCTAACTAAATATATCATAACATAGCTAAAGTAAAGATCTTATCTAAAGACGAGTTACTAACAGTTGCTCTTTATTTTTTATGAAAGTTGAATGAATTTAGTTTCAAGTGGACACGAAGCACAAACCACAGTGCACGTAGTTAAATATATTTAAGAAAGTTCTACGCTTGTTACAATTGTGCTTAGCCCTAATACTAATAACACAAATAGCAATAAGCTAAGCTATGCCTACTTCAGTACTTGTAGTTGTACTCAACTTGTAGATACAATTACAATGTCAAAGTATATAAATTACAACTATAGTTTAGCATGTCACATCAGTCATATAAAAATAACGAAGTATAAAATAATATCCTTACCTCTACTTGTAAAATATTACGATTATGAAAGCTCAATGATGAAGCACACGAAAAACTTATAATTGAAGTTATACTACGTTACAACTTACTCTTATTTGTGATTGTGTAATGTCATATACAATGCTGTACTACAGTGAAAAATGTTAAGTAGTATTAGTTACTATTTACGAGTGTTAAATATAACTGTTACTCTAGTAATGCTTATAAAAGTATCACTCAAGTTTATGTTGCACAATTCGTGCTATAAAAATTATGTACTACTTTCTCTAGTACAATATAACTATTATTTCTTATTGATAAAATGTCGGAAATATAATTTGATGTTTGGTCGTTAGATGTCGTCCTGGAGCGTATTCATGATTAAACATCGAAATTAGTAACAATAATGAACATGAACATAATAATATGAAGAATTTATTAAACGTTTCGGTATCTTCAAAATTTCATCTTCAGTAGTTTAGAGTAATCTAGACGTTATACATAAAACTCTTTTTCTGTCTCTAAATAATACACGTTCTTCATTTGATTTAAATCTATTCTAATTTAACTGTTTCATTTGTGCTCATACTTTCCACTTCCTCTCGTTCTACTTGTTGCGTATCTGCTTGTATTGATAATTTCCGGTAAAATTCTTTCCGAGAAACTTCAGCGATACAAGTCCCTTCTTGATTAAAACTACTTTATTCTTTATGGATACAAATTTTAGTAATACACAGAATTTCCACAGTGACTTTAGACTTTACAACCTTTATAAAACATGCTATAAATCACAGCGATTCGCACACTTTACTTACGGTGCCTACTGTTTGCTTGACTCAATTATCTATCTCTTCTCTGCAGTCTATCTGCCTCTCTCGCTAGCTTTCTTTGCCAGGCTCATATACTAAAAAAGAGGGCACCTGGCAAACACTCGGACATTTGCGGTTTTTTTTTTAAACATAAACACACGCTATAATTCACAATGAACGATTCACGCACTTTACTTACTACCGCGCTTGACTTAATTGTCCGTCTCTATCTCTGCAATTTTATATCTCGATT